AAAAAATACTTTGTTCTTAATGTCATACTCTAGTCTGTATATTAGAAAAAAGATGAATAAGAAAATAAATTGTGACAAACTCTAAAAGTATTAAATTTTATATTAATTCATGTTCTTTGACACAGTGTTCTAGAGGCAACTATATATTATGGCTTATTACTCATTACTTGTTCATCATGAGAAGAATTAAAACATTTTCACAAACAAATATATCAGTGTTTGTTTTAAGATCTAATTTTAAGTTAGAATAAATGTTGAACTATACATTTATAGTCTTGTGAAGCTGAAATGTGTGCTTGATGAAAATGGCTAAGACTAACTTTTACCAAAAAATGAATACTTAAAATGAAGAGTTTTATTATTTATCATTCTGAAGTCAATCAGTACTATTAATGACAAAAGAAATTGATTTGATGAAAAATATGTGATACTGTTGTTTACTATCAAGTAGAGAAATAGAACTGTCTCTTCTAGCCAATCAACATTAAACAGAAAAGCAGAGAATTGTCTCCTCTTCTGACCAATCAACATTAACTAGAGAAACAGAAATGTCTCCACTGTCCAATCACTAGAGAAGCAAAGAACTCTCTGCCAATGATCAATCATAATCATGTTTTGATCAAATAAAAGCTTTTTGAAAGCAGATGATAAAGACAAGCAAATTCCAAATATCCTGTTTTTAAAAATAATAATGGTAAGTAAACACAGAATAAAGAGAGCTAATCAATAGCAGAAACAATATTTATGAGCAAGAATAAAGTAAAATATGTGTCATAGACAGAATAAAATGTCTGTATGAAACAAACGCAACAGTTGATAGCCAACAATTTTAAAAATATATGAGAAATAAAAAGAATGACTTAAAAAAGCTACCACAGAAGAGAAAGCAATGTAAATATTGCAAAATAGAAAGTGATAGTGATATAAAAACTGTTTGAAGATAGACAAATTGAAAACATAGAAACAAGAAATGAATATTTTTGGTCTGCATAATTTGGGGTGAAAATAGAATAAATTTGATTGATAGTTTTCAGAAGCAATATCAATGACATTTGTATATTTATTTGAGTAATGTCCTAGCCTTTTGGTTTATGCCATATTATGTTGAAACATCGGTTCTCATCCAATCAAAGTTAAGCAATGCTGAACCTGTTCAGTACTCAGATGAATGACCACTAGGAAATATCTGGTGCTGTAAGCTATGCAGCAAAACTAGCAAGGAAGCAATGAATACAATCTCATTACTTATACTAACAGAAGACGTTGATAATTAATCCTCTGAGCCATTTCTGCCTTCCATCAACATGACTCATTGCACCTTCTTGGGCTAATGTGCATGGATGATAAGAAGTGTAAAGACTATATTGAATCCATTGCTAGGCTAGCTTCTAAGAAAGTTGGTTCACTTTGTTGTGCTAGACAATTGTTGTCACTAGAATCAATCTCACAAGTCTACCATTTGTCCATGCTTAAAATATTGCTGTCATATATGGCCTAGTGCTCCTGCTATATATTTAAAGATCCTTGATAAAATTCAAAGAAGAATCAGCAATATTATTGGTTTAGTTCTGGCATCTCAGTTTCAGTCACTTTTCCACTGCTGTAATGTTGCTTTCCTGTGCCTTTTCTATACTTTTAATGGTAATTGCTTGGATATGCTCATTGCTATGGTACCTAGACTTTATGAATTTAAGTGCAGTACTAGACATTGCAACAAGAATGCATCAATTTATAGTTGAATTGGCTGAGATGAAACAGTAAGTTCTATGTTAACAGTTTCTTTTCTTGCTTGTAAAACTCTCTTCTGGCTCTCCAGTCTAACTTAAAAACTTTAAATGCAATATCAATCACTACCTACGGCCTTCCTGATTCTTTTATTCTTGCTCCTTAGTAATATTTCTGTTTTCTAATTTTTCCACATCCAGTAGTGTCTTGTGTCTTAGTGGCTTTACTACTTTGCTTGGGGTGAACTTGATTAAAAAAAAATACTAGACAGTTTTTCTTGCCCAAATCTATTTTACATATTTATAAATCTACTATTTATCTATGCTTAGAATATTGCTGTCACATATGGTATTGTGTTCCTGCTATATATTTAGAGATACTTGATAAAATACAAAGAAGAATCTGCAATGTTATTAGTCCTGACATGGCATTTCAGCTTCAATCAATTTCCCACCATGCAATGTAGCTTCCCTGTACCTTTTCTATAAATACATAAATAGTAATGGTTCAGATGAACTCTTTGCTATGGTACCCAGACTTTATGAATTTAAGTGCAATACTAGATTGGCAGCAAGGTCTCATCACTTTATAGTTGAAATGGCTAGATGTAACCATAAGTTCTATGCTAACAGTTTCTTCTCACACACTTCTTGCTCATGGAACTCTCTTCCCGCTTCTTGCTTCCTAGTCAAGTTTGATCTTGAAAAATTTAAATGCAACATCAATCATTATTTTTTTGTTTTCTTAATTTTTGTTCTTTTATTATTCTTGCTACTTAATAATTATTTTCTTATATTCTGTATATTAGTGGCTTTGTTGCCTTGCTTGAGGTAAAAAGATTAAAAAAATAAAAATTAAAATTAAAAAGGTAGGTAGGCTATCCTCAATACAAAGACTAATGCATTATAACATTTTCATATTAATTTTCTTCTATTTGGTTCCTTGTGTGGCAGAATAAGTTAAGCTCAGTACATATCCATATTAGGATAAAATCTCATGGCCATGGACAGAATATGTTTTCAGGAAATTAACATTTATATGATATAATGGTAAAAACACAAAATTTCAAATAATTAGAATGAGAATAGAGTGACAATTATTCATTTTGAAATACAAACATTTTATGGTGAAAAGCTAATATAAGAGAAACCAGTGTATACAAAATTTCATAAGTGGGTAACTGGGTACCCAGTTATGACTGTGCCACGTGAGGCTTAATAAACATCTATTTAGAAATGATTTGAAAAAGATCTGTTTTATACAAAAGCACAAAATTGATTTTCATTATATACAAAGTGTTTAATTTATTTTGCAAAAATTATTACTCAAGTTGCTTAAATTTTTTATGTTTGGTCTAGGAAATAAAAAAGAAAGATATTTCAATTTAACACAACTAGTAAAATTCTTCAGTACAGTATAAAATAACATTTAGTAACACTTTTTGTACAATGGACAAAACATGAATATGGCAATGAAGATGAGGATAACAGTCTGAATAATGTAAATAATGCAAGTAATCATAATACCTCATCTCAGAGATATAGACAGACTTGTTTAATTTTACATGTTTCTTTTTGTTGGGTTACTTATGCTAGACTGACAGCAATAGTGGAGTTACTTAAGTTTTAGTCAAATTTGGGTACAGTTCTTATAAATAAGAATAAGTTGCTTATAAAAAAATTGTGTATTCATACTTACTGAGCCATTAGAAACCAATGTGCTACTATAATTAGCATCCCTACTTTTTTTCTGCTTGCAATAGGAAGATATTGGGGAAATAATTTTAGCATGAAGATTAATTAAACTATTAAAAATAAAACATGAAAGCAAACTCAACAAAACAAGCAATAAAAGTTGCTCAGTACATTTTTACATTAACCCTTTGGTGGCGCACAATGTATATATGAAGTAGTGTTGAAAAATTTCACAGACTAATGCACTTTCCAAAATATGACCAAATGATAAAACATTAGATTTTTGGTGAGAAGACCTTCTTGGTCTGCCTGAAAACTTTTCAGCCTCCTTTCTGCCCTCTTCTGAGCATATGATGTATGTAATTTCATAATTATACTTCTGAAAAAAAATACAGCAGTGGTGTCACCATCATAGTCCTCTTGTGTCAGGCATGGTTTGATGATTAAAGTATAATTACCACTAATTGAAAGTGCTACTGTATTACCTTATGATACCACCAGACAGTTTTTCATGAAAATGTGGGAATGGCCCCATCATATATTCTTGTATTCACATCATTCTAGTTTATATTCAAGAATCTAGTAATGAAAGATTAATTCAATGAATTAAAGATTTGTTGTTTCCAAGACTTGCTAATCTAGGATGAGTAATTAGAAAACATGTTGGAGCTCTTATTGTCCTGACTGACAATAAAAGCTTGTATTTTCTCATAGTGAATATATAAATAGGGCAACAGATCAAAGACACATTTAAAAAAATATTATATAAAAATTAAATTTGCTGTGAAAACAGAGTAAATAAATTCAAAATGCAATTTTAACTAATTGTTATATATTTCTCTTTAATTCAACAAGGGAAAAAATTGATTTTCAAAAAGTAAAAGGCATTTATAAAATATTTGTTATCTATTATTCTTAATTTATTTCTCTTGCCTGACATTACAGTCTGAGAAATCCAATGGTGTTCAAGAGACTTTCTCTTATACAGCTTAGACAACAGTTCTTGCATAAAAAAGAAATTTACTTCTTAGAAGTAAATAAGAGAATGGGATTCTGAGATATACAATTTATTAATTTATAAGCAGTTTGTAAATAAAATAAATTTTCATTACTTAAATAAATATAAATTTCACCAATTCTAAAATCTAGCTAATTCTGAAAATATATACTACAGAATACAACTCTTCAGATCATACACATATTTATAGAAGAAAATTTCAATTATTTGTTTCCATTTTGGAGACATAATAATAATGTATAATGAAAGCAATTTACAGAGACAAAACAGTTGAAAAGTAAATGTGTATCAAGGCAAGAAAAGGTAAAATAGAAATTAACACTTATGGGAAAAAATAAACTGTAGTTCATTGGACAAATGCCTTAAGATACATATGAATTAGACACTGAAATCATTAATGGTGATGAACAGACTATACATTTAAGTTCATGAAACACAAAAAACTAAAATAGCATTATTCTGACATACATAACATCCAACTAATTAAAAAAAAAAAAAAAAAAAAAAAAAAAAATCACTGACACATCTTAGAAATGACAGAAGTGAAAATATAGATTTCTTACCTTATGTTCAAGTAGGATGCAAGTTAGCACTTTTAGACAGGTCTCCACACCTAGCAATTCTAAAGGGAGATGAAGAGGGAAGTCTACCAAAGAAAACCTGGTGTGATCAGGTAAGGCAAAGAGAAGAGGGGGCTGCAGATCCTTAGGAAGTACTTGTACCTGAAAAAAGGAGAAAATCACATTCAACCAATTGATATACTCCAAGACTACTATTTAACAATACAATAATTGGTCTGAAAAGTTTTAGCTTGCAATATTAACAACACAAATAGCTTAAGTGAATATCAATATTAAATAGTTTTGAAAGGGAAAACTGTTACTGCCAACAAGCTCATTTCACAGCTAAAATGGATTAATAAACTATAACCACTAGTTCTATGATTCTTAATATTATTTTCTTCTGGTAGAAATTACTTGTGAAAATGGTAACTATTGTCCTTATATATTTAAATATACATACAATTCAAACAAGCATTTGTTAAGAAACTACTACATTTCCATGGTGATTAACTTTTTGTTTATCTGAAAATACTTCAGTTCAATATCTTTAGCATTTACAAGGGTACATCAATAAGTCTGTAGCCTGATATATAGTTACAAACTGAATTTTGATCTGAAATTTTCACCATATAATATTTGATCTATGTGATTAATATTCACTATTGAATTAAATTCACTGACAAGGAAGATAATATCTGCTGTAGAAAATAAATACTTTTTAATCATTAGGCTACAGATTTATTGATATACTAATATATGTGCATGGCAATTCATAGTTAATAAAATAAAGGAAGCTGTGGATAGCTATGAAGCCCAAGTGTAGAGGGACATGGCATTTCTTTTTAATTAAAGATATGGAAATAGTTAAGGTTTTAAGACTTAAGTTGCACAACACTTTGATATAATATTAAATTATTACCAATAACTCAAAGATAATTCTAAAATGATCTGCTAGATATTTCTTGACCTTAGAGAATGGGAACACATACATACCATACAAATCTTAAAAAGTTAGTTTTTAAATTCTGCTGTGTCATTTTATCTAAAATACTATCATAACAGACATCATTTCAGTATTAGTATTTAATAGTAACATTTTTGTCAAAATTGGAAATTAAGTACCAATTCCAACCTAATCACAAACATTTTTAGAAATAGAGTTCCCTTAACTTTTTCACTAATAGAATAGATAAAAACTTTTCATTTTTTCTATTCTTTTTTGACTGGAATCAATGTTTTATGTACCAACTTCACTGCACAGTGAGCAAGTTCTTTTCAAAGAAATTACAAACTCTTTTTTTACATAACTGTTATACATTGCTTTATTTCTTGAACTGACATAAGATATAATTTATAGAAATTTTTCAGTTAATAAATTAGGCTAAAAGATTCTGAACTTAAGGTGATTTAGAGTTTCATGTCAATTTTAAAGTTGCTTTTCTTATGATTATTGAAATTAAAATAATTTACTTTTGGTTTAAGTGCCAGATATATCTTTGTTCAAAGCAAATATGAATTTATTTGCAATATCAGAACTTTTATCACTTCAATAATAATATATAGAAAACTAAAAGCAACCATTTTATATTAGAACTGGCTAATGTGGATGCTAATTTAACATACATAGTAATAGATAAATACTGTACTGAAGTAATTACAAATGTATATAACAAATAAAGGCCATGTTTTGTATAAGACAATAAAATAGATATAGTTGAGTCACAGTCCTGTTCATAGCATTTGCTTTGGAACAAATTTGAAAATTGGCCCACTTAAAAAAAGAATGAGAAACTACATCATTACAGCAATAGACATTTGAGGTATATATTTTATAAATCCTGATGGCAGATCCTTATGTTTTTATTTCTGGTAGGCTACATACAGAAAGGCAATCTGCTCAAAATCTCATGGCATTAAGTTGCACAAACAATTTAAGTATTTTCCTTCTTTCTTCCTCTCTTACATTCAAGTGATTGATTACAATACTGTCAAATAGCAAATACTATTGGGCAGCTGATCAGTGCACAAATATAAAATAACTGTTAGTTGTACTGAACATAATATCTCAGTTGCTGAAAATTGATTCTGAAAGATGAGGATGGAATTGAAAATACAACAATAACAGAAAGAAAGGTTCAGAGATATTTTGTGCCACTAATCAACAAATTTAGTTGCTGTGGTGTTCAGTGACAGGTGACTACATTGGATCTATTTCTGCCTTTTCTGCAGACCTGACTTCGCTAATGCAACATTCATCTGCACAGTATGCCTGAAGCAACAATAGAGGCTCAGGAAGTATAAACAATACACATAGGAGAAAGGAAGCAAACCTTTTATAAGAACAAATTCAGAATAGCTGTTGCATCTTTTCCTTTCTACATCTTGTCCTTCTGTTTAAGATACTTGACTGAGATTTATAAGGGAATATCTAATCATTACTCCTTTTCATAACTTCTCTTGAAATCACCTGTGGGCAGGTCTTTCAGATTCAGTGCATCCCTGCTTCTTTACTTCTCATAAAATCAGAACTGCTTTTCCAATATAAGGTTTCTTTCTGCAGATAATGTCAGTAGGAAATCAGTTTTGATTAATTAAAGAAATGATACTGCAGTACAATATCAAGTGGAGACAATGAAATATGCATGTCATTATGTAACAAATAAACACAACTTAAGAACAACTGCAAATCAGTAAATGAGCAGAATTATTCTTAAAAAAGGAAATATTATCCTTCATTTGGTAAACAATTATACAAATATTAAGGTGAGGCGATTTTTTATATAGAGACTTATTACATCTCACATGATCTGAAATTATAGAGTTTACTATTTAGTTTACAGTTGCAAAATCCACAAGTTTATCAGTGGAGTGACTATAACTGAAAACTTTACCCATGAACTAAATCAGATGTCAGCAAACATTTTGAGAAGTGGGCCAGATTGGCAGTGATTTGGGGGTTTATAATACAATAGCACTATATTTTTTTAAATAATTTAAACCATGTTAATATTTTCCATGATGAATAAGCACAGGCTTTGATACAGGTCATTTAGTGGTAGTGTTAAAAATGATGAATCAGTGAGAAAATTTTATATAAGTTAAACTGGTATTCAAAGTTTCTTTCCTATTATCAAAACTGGTTGTAAATATTGGTCATTTAAGAGCAATCTATATACTGCTTAATTTTTGAAAATGTTTTTTCATATAGTGTACCAAATGCTGAAAGTGTCTAGCAAAAGATTCTTAAAGCAGATGAAAACAAAAAGGACACTTATATTTTGAATGAGAAAGAGATAGTTGAAATTTCTTGGGCATATAATGAGGAAAGAGAGTTTGGAGAATTTGATACTCACAGGACATACTGAAGGTAAGAGGGACAAAGTAGTGAATAACCCAATGAGCTTGTGTAAATAGTTAGAAGTTCTGGGATTAGAAGAGATAGAAAAAGACAAAACTTACAAAGACCCACAAAAAACACATGACATATAGAAGAAAAACATTCATCAGACAGGCACCCCACCACCCACTTTGTCTTTCAGCATGTTACTGGAATGCAGGTTGATCATTTCTAATTGTATATCTGATGGAAGCTCCTCAATGATACATAAACAAAAGATTTTTTTAAAAACTTTATACAGATGATATTAAATGAAAAATAATATAAAGATTATCATTTCTGAGTAACTTCATATTCTATATGATCTGTGGGCCGGATGACATATCATAGCAATCCAGATTTGGTTTTCAGATCATAATTTGCCAATTCCAGGGATAAATGATTGTTTTTTAGGCCCAAAGAAATAATAAGATGGCAGTAGCTACATGAAAGGACAGAGCAGGGAATTCATAATCACAAATAAGACATTTAAGATTCAACATTCTTGCTCACTTATATTAAGTAAGTTGGAATTCAGTCTCAGTTACTTGAAGCCAATGCCTCAGATAGAGATAGATCAAATAATGAGAACAGACTTGCAAAGTTTCAAGGATGCTGATTCCAATATCTTACAGTCACACAAAAATCAAAGAAAGAAGAAAGACTATACAGCATTGGTAATCAGCATTTTCATTTCACCTGCAACAGAAGGAATAGTCTGAAGTCTTATCTAAATTGTAAATGGTGTGCAAATGTGATGCACCAGTGGTTATACAGGGGAGTTTTGAGCTACATGCCAAAAGAGTAGATGCTCCTCTGTCACATGGAAAAAGCACAGCCTTTTACAAAATGATGTGCAGGAACTGTAAGTAAACACAGACTTTTATAATATTCACTAGCCTTGCTTTTTCCGTTTCTGAGACATGTAACATGTTTGCAAAATTTGTTAGCAGGCTTCCCATGTAAAAAATAAAATATTTCATTTACATTCTTCTGAATTCTACCAAACCATTCTTTATTTTTGTTTTATGTTTGGGTAAATACAACTATTAGTATTTTGGTCGCTTAAATCATTGAGAGTTTGTACCTGAGCAGTGGCATCATGTCAAATAAATTTCAGCTGCTGATTAATTTTGTAAACAAGTAACTGCACAATCATTACTGGGCACTCTTGAAAAATGATCTTGTGCTAATGTCTGCATTGTCCAATAAACAATGTGCAGGTGGTGTAATGGAAAGCAACTTGGAATAAGTAATTGGAGAGGTGAGTTTGAATCCTAGTTGAGTTTGTTACATAGATTTATGTGCAAATACCTTTGGGAAAGGCATGAATCCATCTATTCTTCCCCTAGTTATGGGTTAAATAGTAGAACCTCTATATGGAAAAAACAAAATAATTCAAACAATGTCCAAAATTTATTTTAGTAAAAATGGTATGAGAGTAAAATATAAAGGGGTGTAAAATTGTAATTTTTTTTTCATTTCATCAGATTTTGGGAAATGGGCTGAGGTAAGAATTTTTCAGCACTCTTTCATCTATATATATATATATATATATATATATATATATATATATATATATATACTAGCAGTATTGGGCACCTCGAGGTGGTGTAATGGTTAAGCAAGCTTGCCTTGCCAATAAAATTATGAGTAGTGAATTCAATCCTCACTGGATACCCCCCAATTTCAGCCTTGTGCTACATCTAAGCTACGCTTGGAAAATCACTATACTAGCAGTATAACCTGTCTTTGACTAGGTCTTTCATTACTAGGAATTTTT